ACGCTCACACTGCATCTCCCCTGCACGCTCTCACTGCATCTCTCCTCGCATGCTCACACTGCATCTCCCCTGCACGCTCACACTGCATCTCCCCTCGCACGCTCACACTGCATCTCCCCTCGCATCTCCCCTTGCACACTCCCAGGGTGGCCTCCAGGTCTGAGGGAGGACTACTCAGCTCTGTTTTCTTTGCCTTTCTTTGCCGTAAAGACTAACTTCTAGTTCACAAAGAACACACAGTGCTAGGCATTGTCAGGTAGGAAGCCTCTTCTGAATGAGCTTATTTTTAATGCAGATGAGTCACCTTAAGTAAGTAAATGAGAACCATGTGCTGTAGGAGACAGCCAGATAGAGACAATACCTGGGGGTGTGGAGGCTGTGGCTGTGGTGCAGTCCACGGCACTGTCACCAGCCACAGCATGAGGGTCATTGTTAGCATTGGTGTGAACAGGGCCTGGCCAGGGGCCTGGGCGTGTGGTGTGTGTGTCCCCTGAAAGCTGCCCCCCCAAGTCCGGAAGCCTGAGAGGCAGCGCAGGTGTGGTACTGCGCCAACCCCATCTGTGAGGAGGCCCCGGGGCAGGGGACGCAGCTCTGGCCTCCGTGCACATGGGCCTGCGTGCTCACGCCACGTGCACCAACACTAGAGTTTCTGCTCTGCATAACCTGCCTACCAGGCTCCCGGCCAGAGCCCTCGCGGCCAGGGAGGGGAGAGCAGGGCCGGGGCTCGGACAGCGCATCTGAGCTCCAACACCAGACCAGTCCGTGTGGCAGCAGAAGCGAGAAACACAGACCAGGCTCATCCGTGTGAGGAAGGGAGCCCTGTGCAAGGCTCAGGGACCCTCACGCCTAGTGGTGGGCAGGGGTGAGGCTTTGCCACAGAGGATGGAAGTTATCTGATACAGTTCCCACCATCACTGCATCAAATTACCATCAGAGTTAGTTGCAATTTCCTTTAAGGGGAAGAAGGAAATGCCAGTTGATGGTCTTGATTATAGACACACAAATTTGTAAGATAAATTCCGTCTGTAGAAAAAAGCACTCTTGATGGCTGCTGGGGGCAGTGGCCCTGTGTGAGCGCATGGAGCAACACGGAAGGGCCCGGTCACGGAAGGGCCCAGCCACGAGAGAGCCCGGCTACGGGAGGGCCCGGCCACGGGAGAGCTGGCCATGTGAGGGCCCGGCCACGGGAGAGCCGGCCACAACACAACATGGCCACAGAACAATGTGGTCATGGAACAGTCTACCACAGAACAGCCTGGCCATGGAACAGCCCAACAAAGAACAACATGGCCACAGAACAGTCCTGTGTCTTGGGCCTCATCTGCACAACTGCAAGATCTCAACTTCATAGCATAAGGATGAGCGCAGACATGCCACCAATCCACAGGGAACAGTGGAGACAGTTGGACCTCAGACAGAGGCCGGAGGTCTCAAGGCCTCCCTGCCCCCCCTCCACCCCTGCTCCACACACAAGATGGCGATCGGTAAGTGACCCAGAGAGAAGGCTCCCCAAACTCAAGAGGGTGGGTGGGGCCAGGGAGGTTTCCTGTCCCCCCTCCTGGGCCCGGGTGCCCTGCCTGAAGCACCCAGGAAGACAGCTGCCACTCCCCTGGCGGGGGGGGCACTCACCCTCACAAGCTGCTGCGGGAAGGGACCTCGCGAGTTCTCCGGCACGTTGATGGGGGGGATGACCCAGTCCCGCTTCTGCCGCCTCAGGCCTCTGGAGCTCTGGGGCTGGGCCCACGGCAGCAGCATGTCCCGAGGGGGCTGAGAGGGGGCCAGAACCACGCTCGTCTGCCCTTTCTGCAGAGGAGAAGAATCAAAGAAGTCTGGTTAAGTTCTGCACAAAGGGAACAAAACCCTACAAGCCTCTGTTAATCTGTGTTAGCTGGGATCAATAAAGAAAAGACATATAACACACAGTGTCAGGAAAAAAGAATCACTTGAAGCTGAGTGTAGTAGTGCATGCCTGTAGTCCCAGCGCTCAGGAGGCTGAGATGGAGGACAGTCCAGGCCACACAATGAGGCTCTGTCCCAAACAAAAGACGTCATCCACCAACAGGTGTGTGTAGTGCTGATCACAGGATAAACAGCATGAAGGAACCCCTGAAGGGAGGCCCTGCAGCCGGTTCCTTCCACAGTAGTGTGGATAAGCTTTTATTCCCTTCTAACTTTGTTTTGGTGCTGGGCATTGGATCAGGGCCTTGTGTATTGCTGCTGAGCTAAAACTACAGCCAGATTAGGGCCTTAAAATCCAAAAGCAACAGAAGCAACCATAAAGGAAAAGATGGATACATTTTAACCTAAATCTCCTATGTATAAAAACATACTCCCATGGAGGGTAACAGGAAAATCATGGCAGAGTTAATAGCCTCGATGTGAGGCACCCTCACTGACTGGTCAGATAAAAAAGTGGAATCTTTTCTTCATGTCGGGCAAAGGACATGAATAGACGATTTACAGCCACACGAATGTTACCGATCAATACGCTTAGGAAAAAGGTTCACGTCTTCACGAATCAAAGATGCAAATTCAAGTGCTAAATCCTTTTCACCTATGAAATTATCTAGAGGAAGCAAAATTAACCCTCCTGGGGGAGGGTGCTGTGCCCCTCCGAGGAGGGGGGGGAGGGGGGCGCGGAGGACCTGGCACCTAGTGTTGTTTGGATTGGGGGAGGGTGCCGTGCTCCTCCGAGGAGGGGGGGGAGGGAGGCGCGGAGGACCTGGCACCTAGTGCTGTTTGCATCCAGGGAGCCACATGGTGCAGGGCCAGGTCACCATATTTCTGCACCCTAGATACCAGTGAAGGCATGCCGAACCAGTGCAGGAGGCCGGTGTCCCTGTGGCTCCACCTGCCGGTCAACCACACTTCCCACCCTGGGCAACGCTCAGCCGCTCGGCCGCTGTCCCACTGAGGCCCGACGTGGACAAGGTGTGTCTCTAAAGGTGTGCACTGCAGATGCTTTCACCAGAGTGAAACCCCCCGGGGAAGTCCAGATGCCTGAAGGTAACAGGTGCTCCGTCTGGGGCACCAGAGCCCTTAAAGCTGCCCGTTGAAGATGCTGACACCGATGTGCATCCGTGAAATGTTAGTAAGTGCAGAAAGGGCACCAGGGGATGTGGTGTCGTGAGCCCACGGATGGAGAAAGCAACGGGAGGAAACACCATCACCAGGCTCTGCTCCTCTTCATCCACCGCGGCTTCACGCCACTAATCTTGCTTGGTTCTGTTCACCTTCAGTGTTTTCTGAAGGTCATACTGCACACAAATGTTGGTTTGGAGAGCAGGCAGGCGCTTGGGACACTGCGGCTCTCAAGGGTCCACAGACACAGACTCAGTGGCGGGTGGCTCAGGCAGAGGGACCGGACGGGCAGGGGCATCAGCTTCCCCTCAGTCATGGTGGGGTCTCACCTCGGCTGCAACAGACCAGGCCAGGGCATTTGATGGCCTCACCCCTGCCCTCTGTGGGCAGAGTCCCTTCCACTACCTTTTCCCAAAAGTCTGCAGACCCAACTTTCACACACACACACACACACACACACACACACACACACACACACATGCACACACACATGCACACACACACTACCTTTTTTTGCAAAAAGAGTGTATGGCATGGCTCAAGTAGTAGAGCACCAGCCTGGCAAGCCTGAGGCCCTGAGTTCAAACCTCAGTACCAGCACTAACAGCGCTGGCCAGGCATCCAAGGCAGGGAAGGGTTAGTAGGTCTGTCCGCTGTGGACAGCCAGTGAGACTTGGCAAGTGGCTGGTCTGTCCTGAGGTGGTGGAGGAGCCTGGGGGTGCCTGCTCGGGGCCCCTCCTCTGCAGGACAGCATCCCTGCCACCGCAGCCTGGGGCTCTGCACCTCAGCCTCAGCAGCGTGCAGCGTGCCCGACAGCCGTGAACACAGCCTGCTCCATCTTCACGTGCTTAGGAAAGGCTCGCACGGCATTAATTTCCCTAGTGTTGTTTAAATAAATGGCACGTATTTGCTACTATTTTAAAGCTGTGAGACAAATGTAGTAACAGAATCTGGTGAGAGGCAATGCCAGAGCCGCACCGGCTTCTGCTAGAAGGCGCGCCCACTTCTGTGGAAGGCCAGTGTCCATGGCGGTTGGTGGGCGCCCGGCGTGCTCTGCTGAGTGTCACAGATCATCACAGACACCAGTGCCTAAGTGCAGCGATGGTGAACCGCACACTGCCCGCCGCACAGAGGACACCTGTCACGCTTGGTTCCATGCTCCTCAGTGACGATGCTGGTGTGTTGGGTGAGGATGCGGAGGCCACCTGGACCGTCACAGCAGGGCGGGCAGGTCCATGCGTGCAGACCCGTGTCTGTGCTCATACAGAGGTGGATGGCCTGCGCGTGTACACGAAGCACGTGAGCTTGACACGCGGCTTCACGAGACAGGCCGTGGGGCGTCCCTCCCTGCTGGCCCCTGGGGCCCTGCTGGCCGAGGCTGCGTAGGTAGCTGTGCTTGTCAGAGGAGAGGCCGGGTCTGCAGCCGTCCCCCGGGAGCTGCCTTTCCCCTAGGTCTCCATGTGTCCGCTCCGCATCTTCATCCCTCCTTGAGTCTGCACCAGGTTTGCTGGCCACGGCGTCGAGGGCAGCCTGTGGCCAGTGGTGAGGCCACCTCCCGCTCCCTGGCCTCCGGTCACGGCTCCAGCCTGTCCTTCGGCTGGGGTCCGATGGAAGCTGTTACTCAGAGCCCAGACTCATTTGCAAAGCCCGAAATTGTCTCTCTGCCGGTTTCCTTTGTGACCTGTTTTCCACGGGGTGTCTCGCTCTCTGCAGGCGTGTTGTGAGGTGACATCTTCTAGCGGGGCATGCTCGCTGACCCTCAGAGAACCGCGTGGCATCGGCTGCCTGAGCCTAGAACCCGTGCCCAGGTGGCCCGTGCTGGCTCGGCTACCCTTCCCCTCCCTGGCCGTGGGCAGGTCAGGCGCTCATCTAGGTGGGCCGTGTGCGTCCTCTGTCTCCAGTAACTGCATGGCAGTTACTGCACCTACTGCAGGGGGAAACTGAGGCAAGGAACGGTCCCCGGCTGGACGCTCCCGCCAGGAGCTTCACTTTAGAGCTTGGATGCGGCCTCGGGGACATCCTGTGCTCCCGGGTCAGCGTGGACTCGAGGGGGCCAGGCCGGGCCAGGATGGAGCCCCGCAATCCTTTCAGGCCAACGTGTCTGGGCCTGGTGGGTCCTTCTAGAAGGCTCTCCAGCCCTGTCTCAAACCCAGCTGTCCTTTCTCATTCCAGGGACCGCATGACAGCATCCTCCAGCTTGATACACAGACTGGAGTTTCAGGGAAAGATGGTGGACAGGGGCGAGGGGAAGATACTCTTCAATCTCCTCTGGATGCTGGAGGCCCCCAAATCTTGCTCAAAAACCGGGCAGCACCCCAAGTCCCCGCGGTGGGAGGCGGGCAGCACCCCAAGTCCCCCTGGTGGAAGGTTCCGGGTCTGGGCCCGCGTTTGCCTCCATGGCTCTGCCTGCCCGGCTCTTGCACCGGCTGTTCTCTGCATGATTGACTGTGACTCTGGGTGAGGTCCCCAGGGGCCGCTCAATGTCACCAAGAAACCGTGTTCCGTCCCAGCGCCACTCACAAGGGAGAGATGAATAATGCACACGGACCCGGGGCAGCCTTTAAATGATCACGTTTTTTTTTCCTGAAGGGGGGGGGTGGTGGGTAAAGAGGGAGAGAGAGCAGGGAGGAAGAATAGAATCATCCTCACCCCGTCTGTATGCACCAAGTTATAATTGATCACCTTTCTCTATTACTTAGTCCACTCATCCGTGCAGAGCACAGCATTCCGAGCAGTGGAGCAGGAGCCCTGCTTTTAAGTCAGTGGGTGATCCCACAAAACATCCGCATGCGGCTGTGTGGGGAGTGGGAGAATTGAGTCTGCTGTGGAGAAGACACTCCCTGCACAGGGGTGTGTGTGTGTGTGTGCGTGTGCGTGTATGGTATGTGCGCATGCGTGCATGCCCCATTTTGGTCTGAGGTAGTGCTGGCTGGTTCAGTGGGAATTGGATCAATATTTCCCCAACTTCCTTTTGGTAAAAGCGCAGGCAGGGCACCCCACTCCACACCTTCTGGCTACCACGTGCCAGGCTTCTCACAGGGGGCCAGGGCTCTGCGGGGTGCCCAGCCCCCCAAATCAAGTACACGTACCACAATGCTGCACACAGTCACGCAACTGTCCCCTCTCATGCAGGACCTGGTGAGGTCTGACCCACCCATGGTCCCAGAATGGCCGGGACAGCAGAGCCAGGACTCAGAGCGCTGGGCACAGGTTACAAGCCCGGGCGCCCTGGTACCTCCACACAGTTCCGAGGAACAGCGAGCACGCGGTGGTTCCCTGGCTGAAGCTGTCGCCCCTAATCGCAGCCTGAGTGTGGAAACTGCTTTGAATACCCCCAGAGCGGGCCAGCACCGGGTTTCTACTCACTGTTGGGCTGGGTAGAGAGGACAAGGCTGGGTGCCCTGCCCAGGGGATGACATGACAGATGCGAGCTGCGAGGTCCCTCACGCCCCCCACCCATGGTGACCCCACTGGAAGAGAGCTACGAGATCCCTCACGCCCCCCCCCACGGTGACCCCACTGGAAGCAGCCCTCCGATGTTGAGAAAAGGGATGGCGTGCACCCAGCTGCTCAATGCGTGGGAACCTTGAGCGACGTCCCCCCGGGCCACACCAGCCCCTCCCCTGCCTGGTCAGAGGCAGGTGTGGTTTTCATCCCGAGAAAGAGACGGGGGCTCGGGAGATGTAATCTTTCTGATTGGCAGCACCGCCCTGTGAACCGTG